CTAGACTTTGGGTGCTCTGTATTCCCCAGGATCTAGCCGGAAGGAATGGGATGGCATCCTCGCCTAGGTACCCTTGGGTGAGGTGAGGTAGGTATAAAAACCATAACTTTTTTCACTCATGCCGCCAGACCACACCTCCCCCATACCACCACTGTTTACCTGGATTTGTGCAATAAATTGTTTTTCCAAACTACTACACTACGGGCATCCTTTTACTCTGACTCCTTTGAGGAGCTTTTGATCCACAGCTGTCCTGCCAGAGAAGAGCCTCCATTAACCATAGAGGACTGCACCCACCTTTAGGGAGCTCTGGAGGACCTGGATACTGGTGAATCCATGCTTCAGAGTCCCCTTGCCCACAGAGGAAAGGTCTCGGATTCCTGTTGTCATCCCATAGTGACCTTTGATGACATCATAAATAACACACATGCGCATTTTCATGCGCCTTCTGGTGAGTGCGCATTGCTTAATATTTCTATATATGCACTTTCATCGAGTCCAAAAAGACGCATGATTAATGAGCACTTCAATCACTTTTATGAACTTTTATCAGCAATTGACATCTGATTATTACCTCATGTTCATTTAACTTTTTTAGCGCCGCACATCATTTCGTTAGCTTCACAGTGTATGGCTTGTAGTACAGGAGAAAAATAAGCCCCAAGATAAGCGTCTTCCAACTAGACTTTGGGTGCTCTGTATTCACCAGGATCTAGCCGAAAGAAATGGGGTGGCATCCTCGCCTAGGTACCCTTGGGCGAGGTGAGGTAAGTATAAACCATAACTTTTTTCACTCATGCCGCCAGACCACACCTCCACCATACCACACTTACAGTAAATAAACCACCAACATCAGTTGGAGTTTCAATGGCCTCAGCATCCACTTTATTAACAAAAGTAAAAATAACCAATATAAATACCAACCAAAAGCCGAATGACCTTCATTGATTAATGTATACTGGAGTTTCAAGGTCCCTGTAGGCAATTTAACTTGGTACCTTATGTGCATCAACCATTGCAGTAGGCTTTCAGCTGCACCATACCGATTCAGAGACAGATTGCCAGTAACCTCAGAGACTACCATAAATTTACAAATTGAGGGAAGCCGTACCTAAGACAAGTCCCTACCATTTCACATTTAACCTATTGCCCACCGTCTAGGACCTTGAGCCCTGCCAACTGCTAGGACTGATGCCTACGAAACTGCACAACTGACAAAAGGAACAAAAACAAAGTAAGTGAATAACAGGAGGGATGGTGGGAAGATTCCGCAATGTCTGCCATCCTCCAACTGAAACTCTGCTAGGACCCATCCGCCTACAGCCCCCTGAAGACCCCACCTGTTTCTGGTCAGCCTCACCAATCAAGTCAGTGCCCCCACTTCCTTCTATCCTTTAAAATTTCTAAAACTCCTCCCGTGCCTACACTCCCCTTTTAACCCAGTCAAGTCGTCCCTCCATCTATGTCTTGTGGTCTTTTCCTCAGGGCCTGACTTTAATGAAACAGGAACACATTTGAGGTCACTTTCTATCTGGTGACAGCCTCCAGAAATTGGGGACATCTGGTCAGCCTGTGAGTAGGGTGCAGCTTGGTGTGTCGGTGGCAGAAATCACACAGAGGCCGAGGTAACGTCAACTGTGTATCACAGAGAGTTCCAACAAGGTACAACTAGGCCCAGCAGTAGGCACAGCCATGTGGAGTCACTTACAAAACTGTAGAAGACTTTAGATGAGGCCAACAGTGCCTGCAGTTAGGAGCAGGAATGAGGCCTGGCCTGTCTACACTCAAAGGAGAGGATTCCTATAGCAGAGAATAACTGTAGTCTCTGCACTGTCCCTACTCCTCCGGAACCTTTCCCTAACTCTGAACAGTCTCCCTGGCAGACGGGGAACCTATCCCTACACCAACCATTTGCTAAATATGTGCCAAACCAGGGAGCCAGAGTCTTAAATAAGCACTACTTTCACCAAAGATGGCCACGAAGGTCAAGCAAGTCACCAGCACTCAATCGGACATCTGCACCCCTGTTGACCACAGGAAGTCATAAAGGAACTAGGTTCCTCACAACTTCCTTCCCCTTCTCCATTGTCACTCAAACCTGGCGCCACCTACAGAGGGAAGTACAGACTGCACCTGCCTAGAAGCCTATTTAAAAACTCATCTCCGTTATGTTCCCGCGATGCACTTTAAAACTTTGCCTCGGCTTCTACCCTGCTTCGTGCCTTTTGAATCAGATTCAGAAGAAGCAGATGCAGTATTACAGCTCAACCTGCTGTGCGAACAAATTATACTTTTCTTTAACGTCAGACGCTGAGCGCTGCTTGTGAGCAAAATGTGGAATAAAGGATATAATTTTAGAAACATTGTTTGGGGCTGCTGGCATTCTAAAAATTGCTGAACAGAAAAACATACATTCTTTACAGGCCCCACCGATAAAGATCAGTTATTGGAAATCACTCAGCAAGTACATTTGCTATATAAACAAAATGGGAGAAGTACAAATAATGAAAAAAAAGTAATTTTTCAAAAGTCAGGGATTTACTGTGCCAGGGATGAGCAACTGTGTCTGGAAAACAGGAGCATGTAATAGATAGTTGGTTGGTGTAGAAGAGGCTTGACACAGCAAATGCGTTCTGGATTTATGCTGTGCTTTTCAATAAGTGACTATTGAGGACTTTTTATAAAGAAATTGCTAACCAAATCAAATTGTCTTCCTGCTTTGCCAGTTCCCTGACACTATTATTTTGGCCACCAGTTTGGCGACAGTGATCTCACATGAATCTCTAAAATTTTGCGATTGCTGTCCAGTACAGATCTAAATTTACTGCCGGCACACAAGCCCTGATGAAGAGGTAAGTTTTGAACCCCCGAAGCGTGCTGGCTATTTGATGACATTTCATGAAAAATATATTTTTTAAGGGACTGAATCACATTTTGTGGTACTCTCATCCTTCTAATGCTCTCCAGACTACTCCAGGAACCTTTTGGGATACCTCAGTTGACAAAAAGCTTCCTTTAAGGGCTCGTTACCACCTCCTTGCCATCGGTCAGACATCCTCTGAAAAGTGATCCACCATGGATCACACTTCAGAGGACACCAGAAGTGTAAACAAGCCCTTAAATTTATATTAAATCATGATATATGTTTATTTTAGTGTAGCACCCTCTAGATAGCCAGGGAGAGCTAGTTGCAAATTGTTAGTTAGAAAAGCTGAGCAGCAGCCTGGGAGTAGTCAGCTGGGTGAAATTTGGGCCAGGGCTGAGAGGCTCTGCAGATCAGTTCTCTGATACCTCCCAATGCTCTAGAGACAGGAGCATTGGTGCACTTCTAGTGGTCCATAACCACTTCCTAACCACGCTACAGCCAAAACATGGCTACAAACACGGACAGCTAGTTTCTGGGAGGGTAGCCATGGATGTCTTCCCAGAACCACACACCCCGCATGTCCCCTGCACGTGCTCCGTGCATGAGCTGTGATCGCTGTGTCCTTCTGACACAGCTGATCATGTGTCCAGGTAAAGGGTCAATCAGAGCCGCGTTTTACCAGGTGATCACAGCTGATCACAGAGTGAATAGGAAATGCCGATTATCGGTTATCTCATGGCGAAAGGAGAGCTGGTAAGCTGCATTTCTCAGAGGGGACATCTACACTGATCATCAGTGCCCTGATGATCAGTGTAGCCCCATCAGTGCCCATCAGTGCTTGTATCAGTACCCATCAGTACTGGTTATCAGTACCCATCAGCGCTGGCTATCAGTGCCTCCTTAGCGCTGGCTATCAGTGCCTACCAGTTCTGGCTAACAGTGCCCATCAGTGCTAGCTATCAGTGCCCATCAGTCCTGGCTGTCAGTGCCCATCAGTGCCACCTATCAGTGCCAATCAGTGCTGCCTATCAGTGCCCATCAGTGCCATCTATCAACGCCCATCAGTGCCGCTTATCCGTGCCCATCAGTGCCGCATATTGGTGCAGCCTCATTAGTGCCCATCAGTGCAGCTCATCAGCACACATCAGTGAAGGAGAAAAATCACTTATTTACAAAACTTTATAACAGAAACTAAGAAAAACTTATTTTTTCAAAAGTTTTGGTCTTTTTTTTTGTTTGTTTTGCAAAAAATAAAAACCCCAGTGGTGATTAAGTACCACCAAAAGAAAGCTCTATTTGTCTCAAAAAACGATAACAGTTTAGTTTGGGTACAGTGCTGCATGACCGCGCAATTGTCATTCAAAGTGCAACAGAGCTGAAAGCTGAAAATTGTCCTGGCCAGGAAAGGGGTGAAAGTGCCCGGTAGACAAGTGGTTAAACCTGCATGCAGTCAAGTGGTGTGGGTACAATGTAGACTGCGGTATGAGGAGCAAACTGGGCCAGAGTTGGTGATGATGTACTATGACCGCAGTTTATAGGCAACAGTGGTGCGACAGAGACATTGAAGGTGACAATATAAAGAATGGAGGGGTGTGGAAAGAGTACTACAGACATCCTACTCTCAGTAACTGGAATACTGCTAACAGTACAAAGCAAGCCAGAGGCCATCTCATGACTCCCAGAGGCGGTGATAGATTTGCAGCCGTAGAAGAGGTCCCTTCAGTCTGGTTCTTGTGCAGCTGCAACCCACTCAACAGGAGGAAGGAGGCTGGAGAACTGTCCGGTCTTTCAGCGGCAATTCCATATGGTCAGCACGGCTGTTAGATGTGACTGCTTCCTTGGAAATGTCACTGTCCACTTTGGGTTCTTTAGGGTTGCCTCGATCCCCAGCTCCTACAGACAGGTCTAAATCCCGTGGTTCCAAGAGAGAAGGCTTTTTATGGGCAAAAGAATATAAAGGCCTGTAGGCTTCTCCTGCGTCCCATGGCCTGTTGGGACCTATTGTTTAGAAAGTTAGCTGTGTTACATGGCCACTACATGGCCACTACCTTGAACTACAAAACCTCCAATGACTCCTTATGTCTTGCATAGAAGTCTATGGGTTTGCAGCGTAAAGGGATAATAAAGGTTAAACATGTCTATACTTACCTGCTGTGTGCAGTTGTTTTGCACAGAGCAGCCTGGATCTTCCTCTTCTCCGGTCCACCGCAGGCTCTTCTGGATCCTCCTTTCTGTTGGGTGCCCTCACGGCAAGCAGCTTGCTATGGGGGCACCTGCTGCTCCGTGTGTCCATTCACACATGGAGCTGCGGCTTGGCCCCGCCCCCTATCCCCTCAATGGCTGACTGGCTTTGATTGACAGCAGCGGGAGAAAATGGCTCCTACTTCTCAATGAAGAGGCAGAGACCCGTGACAGCGCTAGATCTCGATGGGGCTCAGGTAAGTATTGAGAGGGCTGGTGAGAATTCTACACACAGAAGGTTTTTTACCTTCATGCATAGTTTTTACCATTTGGTACAGTGAGAATGTGCCTAAAATAGGAATGTGCCTAAATGGCATAAGCCAAAAGGAGTCTTTCCAAATTTAATGATTGGCCACTAGAGATGACCGAACATCTTAAAAGTTTAGCAGTTGTGGTTCAACTGAATTTGTTTAAAATTTTCAAACCTCTGAAATATTTCTGAGCTCTAACTACATTTGAAGTCAATGGGAATTAGAACCAGCCTCCGTGTGTCTTACAGAGCAGTAAATGCTGAAAGAATCTGCAGAAAGGTTTGGAAAGCTCATGGCAGCCTTGCCTGTTGACATGATGGGATCAAAAATAGCCTGTGCTATCCTTTAAAAAATGTTATCAAGCATACTAAAGCTGATTATAGATGGTTCGCATCTTGATTGGCTAAGCAAGGACTGGCCGTTATTCGAACCACCTATGGGCAGGCTGATAGTACCCAAATCAATCCATCAATCGACTTGGGTACAACCAGCATGGTGGATTCTTACATACGATTATTGCCAGTGGCTATAGCCCCTAACAATAATCACTGTGTTCTCCCAACAGGGATGGCACTCTGCACATCCACCCCCCTAGCCAGGAGAACACAAGCACTTCACAGGAGGGATTCCCCCATCAACCCTGAATCAAGCAAATTTTGCATCATCTAAGGCTTGCCTTAGGTAGAAGAGTAGGACCTGGAGACACACGTCGTCACGCTCAGGAGCAGGGGCGGACTGACCATTCGAGCACTCGGGCACTGCCGAGGGCCTGGGGTCAATAGGGGGCCCCATGAAATGCCCCTGGTACCTTTTTTATAGGCTTTTTTGAGTGTGGGCAAGGACACAGGGGCCCCATGATCCCTTATTGCCCGGGGGCCCCATGAGTTGTCAGTCCGCCCCTGCTCAGGAGGCTCAAGCAGCAGCAGAAGCAGATATAGGGCAAGAACCAGTCCCTTTCTCCCGGAAGTCTTTAGGGGATTCAAACTGCCAAAAATAACACTGACATTTGGATTTGGCCATCTCCTGAGGGTGTATTGGACTAGCAATGAACATTGGAACTTAGCTCTTTGTTTCTTCTAAATAAACGTAAGTGCTTCACCCTGCCTTACATCAGCTTACACTGCAGGAACTTCCACAGTAAGCCCAATGTGGGTTGTTAAGTGTATGTAATGCCAAAATGTTTTTTCTATTTTGGATTAGGCAGGGATAGGGAAACAACCCTTTTAAGGTATTTTTTGCTGTCTGTGTCCAACTAGGGAGATTTTTGCTAATTTCATTCCAATCTTGGAGAGAGTTGTCACAGGAACACGTCCCCATTGAAGGAATTTCCCTCATCTTATGTTAACAACCTGAATCTTTTTGAACTTCCCATCACTTTCTGTCTCTGTGACAGTGGTCATCAGGACAAACAGAGGGGTGGATCTACCCAGTAGGCACATAGCAATAAAAACTTGACAAGCTTCCTGAGGATGCATAGCACGCAAAATGCACTGAGGCCTGAGCCACATTCATCACCTCCAGTTTTGTTCCCTAACATCACATCTGGCCTGTTGGAACGCACGTTGGCCGCGGATGCTAGCGGCGGTGTGAAGAAGGGGTCCCCCTAGTGAGCAAAATGTGTTGGTGACCCTCTTTGGCACCTTAACCATGTGAGTGCATATAGATCACTTTCTTATTCCCTATTGTTTTAATAAAAGATACTGCACTATGAGCACTCTCTCTGTGATTTTTTTCTGAGATATGTTATTATGGAGGAGATTTACTAATGGTATATAACGTGGATGGGATTCAAAAAGTCCTGGCAGAAGAGAGTGGACATTTGACCCAATACACATAAGATAATTTATGCTTGCTGGCTGCTCTGTTGGCTGATACCGTTTGGTGAGTGCGCATTTTTTCTGGGAATGGTGATGGAGTACTTTTGAATTGTGAAAGAAGATTTGGCTATGGTCACAAGATACAGGGTGCTTGAGAATTTTCTTTGAACACTTGAATGTATTCATGGACATGTAATATTATATTTCACTGTTTATTTTCATATGAATGTTGGTATCAATATTCTTCATTTTTGTACAGGTTGATATATTGAGTCTCGGTGCATGCCCACTTTCACTTTGTTTTTATATGTTGTGTGAGTGTTATTATGCACTTAAAGGGGCAGCTGCATTATTTAGTGACTGTCGATTTTGTATCTAATTATGGGATGGCACTTTTTCATTTATAGATAGAGTCTGATTAAATATCATGCTCAAGCTCTGGAGGGGGTGCCCAGAAGGTGGCTTGGGAGGTGATAAATGGTCTGGAGCCCTGGAGAGATGGTTCTTTCCTTGGCAGGGAGGGTTTTGAAGCCTCTGGGGCAGATTTTGGACTGTGTAGCTGTTCCCTGAGGTCTCGGCTATGCCAGAGCTAAGACCTTAGAATGATCTTCTGAGGAGCTGGCTGTGGGACCTCACTATTGGGATAAGGTCTGGAAAAACATTGTCTCTCTCACTGAACCATGTCCGGAGGTAACTGGAAGGTGTGCAACTGTCCTGGGGACTTGTGAGTACTGACCTGAAATTGTAATCTTTGGTGACTGCATGCTTTTGGGATGTAAATTCCAGAGGTAGCTATGGACTACGACAGTTCTCATTGAGTCTCATCAGACTGGTTGTTCCCTGTCCTCAGCAGAATCCTGGAGTGTGAGCCTAGAGGAGAGTGTTCCCCTGTTACTGTGCAGTCTGTTGCAGCATCCCATGCCCCATGGATCGGTGCTTGTTAGCAGCATCTATAATATTTGGAAAGAATTAGCTATTACCAACAGCCCCTAGAGGGGTAGCACTACATATTGTAATGGGCTACACAAAATGGTAGTGCTATAATTTATTGTGTATTATGATAATTTTATTAATACTTTGCTTATATTAAAAAAAACTGTGTATTAATGAAGACAGAGCTGCATTAATTTGCATGTTTTATACCTGCCTGGAGTTTAGCTTTAAAGGTATTTTCAACATTTTAGAAACAATTTGGTGGCAATGTATGTTAATATGATACACTGAAGGTCTATTAGCTATATTCTATATATCTAAAATGATGAACGTATGACAAAAGGTATGGAAAAGACACCTTCGGCTAAAAGAATTTGGTACTGAATGGGTCCTTTCTTTGGCATTTCAGAAAGTTGGGAGGTTTGTGATATAATCAGAGCATTAGCTGAAATGTATGCCGTAACATAAGCAGAGAGTTCCATCTTGTGGCTGCAGAGACTGCAGAGACCCCATGAGGCTCGCACTTTTATGATTTATTTTGTCACCAAAGGCTCTCTAAGAAAATATTTCTGAGTTTTATTACAGTTCATCTATGAAGCTATTTGCTTTTTATGAAACCATCCAGGAGCGAAAAATCCCAAATCTAGTTAGACCTTACAAGGACATACAGTGAGATGAAATTGGAGAAAAGCTAAGAAAAAAATGACTCGAGGGGACAAAAGTACAATGAAAATATCTTCCATACTGCAGAAATATGGCCTTTTCATCTCACTTATACTAGTTTTTCTAGATAAGATTTATCAGCCCTGTGATCACCTGATGTTGGATCAAATAAGTTTGACAACTCCTGAAAGCATTTTCTTATATTGTCTATTGACTGGTATATGACATTTTATTAACACCTGCTATATATATATTGAAACTTCTGGGGTCATTTAAAAAAGGCCAAGATCACTTATGATGGACCCTTAGAATGCATGGAGCATGCGGTGGTGCAGCTGGGCTACTTAGTCAGCCCATAGCCAGTAATAACAGATGTGTGGGTAACTCCTAAAATCTTCTCAGTTCTTAGCTTGAACGACAGTTCACATTTGAAATATTCATACATATATGGCCTGTCTTATCTACCAAAGGAGTTATATTTCTGTCCATCCATTCTTGAGATTTACATTGCACTATTACACTGTATGTAACCGGGTAGGATCTTCTCTGTCCCTTGAAAAGAGGGTGGAAAATCAAAGCAGTACAGTTTCAAGAAGGTTCTGGATGCTTTATTTTTCATGAAGGGGGAAAGGAGTGTAGGTAGGTACAGGCATTCTTCTGTCCTTTAGACTCCCCTTCCCACTGTGCTAATTGTCTCCTTGGAGCCTCTGTTAGCCCTCTCTAACTAAGGCAGGGGTCTGATTTGATGTCCAAATTCCTGCAAAAGTTCAGATGGTCATCTTAATGAGGGAGTCTGTACATGAAGGAATTTATGTAATTTGGGCATGCTTTGACCAAGTGGTAGGTTAGTGTGAAGAACCTGCTGGTTAGGGACAGTGCTTAGCGCAAGGAAAGTTTCCTGGGAAGTTAGGGACACTGTCCAGTGCAGAGGAAGCTTCCAAGGATCCCTTTCTAGTGGGACAGTGCAGTGTAGTTATAGAAAATACTGCCATACCTCAAACACAGGTCCTCCTCTAGTTTGCCCAAATTTACTATTTCCATTACTAAGTTATATGGCGGCTACAAAAGGTATGCGGAGCTGTGCTTCAGCAGTGGTACTGGAGACTTCCCATCTGCTGTCAGAGCTAAATAGAGTCGGGCTGAGTGCTTCTTAGCCAGTGGGAGAAAGCCTTTCATTTTTATCAATGAATACTAGGTTTCCTCTGATTGGTCAAGGTGAAGAGGCAGGCAGATGATGTCACAATCTCCACCTTAGTCAGTCAGTAAAAGTGTTGTATTTATTGTTAACAGCAGGATGTCAACCAACACTTCAGTTCCCACACTGTAGGAGGGCAGAAGGGCAGTCATGTGGCGTGGGATGCGAAAGCTAGTGGAGATCATTGGAGTAGCAGTGTATGATACATACATAGTAACATTGGTCCAGGCTGAACCATGTATAAAATATCCATACCTGTGTAGCACTACTCCCTTAGGAGTCGCTAGAAGATTTGGATTCCCCTATAGTCCCATGCAGCCAGGCATCACATATCTTCACAAAAGAGTCAGAAATCAGTCCTTGAGCTTTGGTTTTGTTGTTTTATTTT